TAAAAAAATTAATGTGACCTTGACCTGACCTTCGCTACGCAACCCAAGGTCAAACTGATGTGATCAGTAAATACATCTTTTTAAACGCCACAACTTTTATCTGAAACATTTTTTTCTAAAATGCTTAGTTTTCGAGATATTTCACCGGTCCGGGACTTTTTGAACACCCTGTATATATAGACAGCCGCCATTGATTATTAGTTCCACTTTGCTGCCTGTCATGGAGCGAGGGCGCCACAAACGCTAGCCATGGGATATTAGAACCCCTACTCATGATTTTCCTTGAGATAAGGGAGCCAACAAGGTTCCTTATTTAACCAAAACAGATTTATGAAACGCAGAGTGAGAAACAAGGAATCCTTATTCCTCAAGGAAGGGCAATAAATCTGTTTCCTACTGGCGTTGTCATGTTTAGACCATATGACACGTGAACCAATCACGCAGGAGCTCAAAAAGTCAGAACTCTTTTAGGGTCTCACACTGATACTAGAGGCCTCACTGTTCATTCTCACTCGCTCGTTGCTTTCGAGATGTTGAAGGTTATGTCATTTGTATAACATGGCGTCAAACGAGAATAATAGTTTCCAAAAGACGTTGGAGTATCGGATTTTCGAGTGCTCTAGCTTTTGTTCCACCTTCGTACCTGAGTAAGTAATCTCATTACTTACTGCATTACATTACCGTAACGTCGAGACACTCGGACAATCCGTTGCCGATGGATTGATGTAACTTAACCTATAAAAAGGAAGATGCATTAGATAAATTGTCGCGTAGGCGCGATGCAAGTTATACGTTCGTTAAAATCGCGCGAACAAAAGGCGTCCGTTCTCATTCGTGTGCACCGACGTCTGTTACAGAAATATCCTTGTCGACAAACCATCGGATCAGACGTCACGTTGGTCTTCTGAGCTTGATAGTCACCCACAGGTAAGGATTGTTTGCATACGACTATGTCGTCTTTTTTTTTCCATCTCGCCGTTTACCTTGTATGTTCATATATTTCAGTATATTCTTCTCAAACTACAACGCTTTTCCATCGTCGAAACTATTACTTTCGGCAAATATGAGAAAAGCCATGTGTGCAATATGAAGAAGTTCAAAGTGTATGGTGGAATGGATATCGAAAATATGACTGAGCTTCTTGACAGGTTGATATAATAACAAAAGATCTATTGTTTATAATTACACTGTGTTATGTTGTCTGTACATAAAATGAAGTAAATATTCAATATTTTGTGAAAGAGAGAAGGATATAACAAAATTATGAAGAGTTCAGAAAATGAAGCTACAAATAATAGATCTTTAGTTTGCACCTGCTGAAGTACTTTGTTTTCTAGTGGACTGAGGAATGATTCTATGCCAGAAACGTTTGAACTGAAACACACCGTGGGATCTGAGGAGAATTTCCTACCTCTCCGATATATCAAAATCCTTCCAGTGTTGTCGTGGGGTTCTAGTTTTAACTTTTCTATATGGCATGTCAAATTAGTTGGCATCGATGAGCCTGAGATCGTGAAACCTTGCTTGGAATGGGTCAATATGGTAAAATTTACTATTGTGTAAAGAGAACAAAACAGTCTTAACTTTTAGTTATGAGACGAACATGACAATGATAATATATGAGCGATTGTATCATTGCAGTACCGACAGAAGGAAATAATAAGACTGTGCATGAAACATTTTCGACGATTGCAACAACCAGAAATTGTAGAGACCTTGCAAAAGATCACTGGAGTCCCTCTGGAAGATACACGATTGTCGACGTTGTATGATCTGCTGGTCGTGAAGGGCGACCATTTACAGGCGGAACGTTTTATCAGTAACGCAGTCATGGGTAAGTCCCTTCATCACAAGTACTCTCTCTTTCGAATCTGTCTTGCAGTCCGTGACGCTTATACATTGAATGCGCTTTTTAGTGGGGCTCTTAAACGATTATATCAATGCTCAAACTTATAGAGCAAGTTGGACGAAGCTAACGTCCAGCGACCCTAAGCCCGGGATGCGAGGGGGTCATCAGATGGTGCTCGATCCTACGGCCGAAGTGCTCTATCTCTTTGGCGGATGGGACGGAAACCAGGATCTCTCCGATTTGTGGTCGTACGATATTGCAGCCGGCAAGTGGATGCTCATATGCAAGGATACCGAAATGATGGTTGGTGCATTGTATCTATGCCTTTTGAAGAAAAACGCGCTTCAGTTTTTTTAACTAGAATAATCTTAAAAGCTTCTACACTACGTCAATATTGGCTACTATTGAATAGTCTGCAGTGCTCAACCCTTTAAGTCACGAATTTTTCTGAACAACCTTTTCCTTTGTTTAATCGATATCTGAGGGTTTTTGTGATCGCTAATTACGAATTTGAAGTCATTTGGAAATTTCAATATAGCAGACGACAATTTTAAAAACTTCCTCGATTTCCGTGAAAATTAGTATCCGAGGGTTTTTGGCGTCGCTGATCACAAATTCGAAACCACTTTTTTGAAATTCAAGCTATTCACAGATTCAACTTCACTCATTTACGCGGAAAGAAATATAATTTATCCAGATTTTTGGTATTTTAGCTTGCCATATTGAGTTCGCCATCTTAAATTTTAAAATTTTTGAAGTTGCGTCATCATCTACAGTTCAAGAAACATCAATCATTTTTTTTCCATATATTTACTTTGCAATATTTTTGGCAAATGAATTTAAAAAAAGAAATATCATTTTTTTACATTAATTTGTTTATGAATAATTAAGTTTGCAAAATTTAATATTCTATGCAGATGATTCTATTAGAGGAAAATCTAATCTAAGCGCCTTACAATGAATCCATATTTATCGCCTCGAAGTCTCTACAAATTAGTTTAAATTCGTAAAAACTAAAACTCTAAAAAAGGTGTATCATATATGATACATTATGACTTGAAGGGTTACTCCTGGTTTACATTCAATGACTTAAGACTTAAGCCTTAAAAATTGACTAATCCTATTGGATCATTCTTATAATAGTCGACTGTAATTGATCAATTTTTAAGGCTTAAGTCTTAAATCATCGAATGTAGACCAGGAGTTAAAATACTGAACTGCACAATTATAGAGCTCAGAGAATCCTTGAGATTTTGAAATATTTTCAAATTGTACATGCCAGCAAGTTTAATTGTAGAGTCCATGACTGACAATTGAAGAAGTAGTTGGCCTTTTTCTTCCAAGGCATAAGTATGATTATATAATAATAATTATGTATATATAATAATAACGATTTTATTACATAATTATATGCGAATTTGTAAATTATACGAGTAGTATCGTATTATAGTTATAATTACATAATAAATTGTTACATATGACGGGTGACAACCATTTTCAGGGCGGTCCATGCGCGCGTTCGTGCCATAAAATGTGCCTAGACCCAAAGAGACGGCAACTATTTACGCTCGGAAGATATCTGGACACTCAATACAGAACCTGCGAAAATCTGAAAAGCGACTTTTATGTTTATGACATCGAGTCCAACAAGTGGACGTTGATCACAGAGGACACGGGAGCCGTAGGCGGGCCCCAACTGATATTCGACCATCAAATGACTATGGATATAGAGAAGCGCACTATCTATGTTTTCGGCGGACGAGTGCTACTTGCTCCAAACAAGTAAGTTGCGTTATTTCTAAAATATATACGTCTTCTGATAAACGTGTGAATATCTTTAATATCAAAAGAACTATTTGGATAGATTTAAATCGAGTATTACTACTAGAAAAGATTTTTTTTGGATTTTTTCAAAAAGAGAAAATCGATTCAATAAAAAATATAGAACATAGGTACTTAGTACGAAATATTCCTTTACGCATTCTTTAAGAATGCGTAAAGAACTCGCATTGTCCGCTACGATTCTCAAATTATCGATTGAGAAATAGATATAAAGTAAAAATATATCGTTTTTTCAAATTGCAGTTCGGATGATCATGGTTTATTGCATCCAACGGAACCAGTTTTCTCGGGATTGTATTCATATCACGTACCAACTGGAACTTGGGACAAATTAGACTGTGATACTATTGATAAGTGCTCACGTGATGTACCAAAATACCGATCTCGAGCTGGACACTCTATGCTATTTCATCCAGTCAGTATCTCCTCAGTTTTATTATCCTATTTTCACTTAATTGTGTCTCACTCTATAAAAAAAAAATTAGCAAACGCGACGAGATGATTGTGATTCTTTCAGAGATCGAGAAAATTGTACGTATTTGCGGGCCAACGAGGTAAAGAATACCTGAGTGACTTTTTCACTTATGAAGTGGACACACATCAGGTTGAATACATAAGCCTGAACGAGTTTGGTACGAGAGACTCTAACCACGTGCCCGCGGCTGGATATACACAAAGAGCGACTATCGACCCTGAGCTCGACGAGATTTACGTTCTGTCGGTTTGTATCGCTCGTTCCTTACAAATGCATATTTAATTATGCGATGAATATTGTAATATAAACGTGAATATATATTTTCAGGGCTTAAGCAAAGACAAAGATAAGAGAGACGATAATGTACAAAATTCGTTTTGGGTGTACACCATCCAGAACGGCAAGTGGACTTGCATATACCGCAACGAGAATGCCGGCGAGAAGTATTGGAGCAAGATGCAAGATTACGAGCCGTGTCCGCGATTCGCGCATCAGATTGTTTACGATCATACCAGGAAGGTAAATCCATATAGATCTGGCGTGCGATATTGAGCTACGGTGTATTTTTCTTCAGCAAAAATGCTAACGTGCTGTTTTCTCTTTGTAAGGTTCATTTTTTGTTCGGTGGTAATCCAGGCAAGACTTGTCTTCCAAATTTAAGACTCGACGACTTTTGGCAATTGGAGCTACGTCGTCCCACACACGAGCAAATCCTTAAAAAATGTAAGATGATCATCAGGAGGCATAAATTTCAGGAGCTCGCTCTAAGCAGCAGTATAGAAGCTCTCGAATATCTGCAGACGAGAGTCTACGAAATTATCGATCACAACGATATGCAACAAACAAAAGAGGTAATTACACGCGAGTTTTGTATGTATCCATAGGAAAAAATTACGATGTTGTATTGGTGCTTCAGGAAATAACTTCTGAAATCATTCTGAGTAGAACAGTTCATACCAACATTTATTTAAACCTCAATACTTGTAGAATTACGATTTGAAACTTAAAGAACGCAAGCCCTTTGCTAAATGAAAATTTCGACCAAGTTTTTACTATATTAAATGAATTATATAATTGTATAAATATTTACATCATAACACATAAAATAGGCTAATATATTTATATGAACTTTTTAACTCGTAACTTCTTAGTTTTCCTTTTTGATTCCACGAATTATCTTGTGAAGTGCCGATAAAACTTGTGCGAATCATTCTATATGTATGCGTATACGTTAACAATCGAATTGCCATTTTTACATTACATTTTTACATTATAACACGATTATTAATTACACGATAAACGTGTTCTTTTGCAGTTTCAATCGTTGACTTCGATCTTATTCCAAGAGCGAAACGACACGTCAGTGGATACATCCAATCCAAATACGTCTAACGATATTTTGAGCGATTTGGCCGCTGGCATGACACAACAGCAGTGCACGAAGTCACGTAACATACATAATCTGAGAACCGAACTCTACGATAAACTTGCGGAATTCTTTCCCGAGTCGTTAGCCCAGCCACGGGCGAACCTAATCGATCTCTTACCGTTATAATACGATAAAAGTCTCAAAACGATGGATTGTTCTGGTATATCTCTTATTCTCTTTCCCGATTACTTTTCTGTTCCTGCCATTTGCCGACAAAAGTACTTGCTGTCAAGCGATCTTGTTTTTTTCATAGATTAACGACGAGCTTCGCCACGGTATAACTTTAGTTTTTTCTACTTTTGTTTCAATACTAATCGCAGGAAAAAGGTTAAGCGTTGTTTATTCAGCGCTATTTTTCGAATTTTATTTGACAGTCCACTGTTTTCTGACAATTTTATTTATTTTGTTATTATTATTATAATT